AGTATTCTTTAAAACTCCTTTTCTGATATATTTTCGAGAAAATACTTCCTGTAGAGTACATAAATTAGAAGCGCAAATTCTAATAATGTATCTCAAATTTTATTCATAGGTGAAGGGCAAAATTTGAATTCCCGCACGAACTTGCCATACTAACGGCGGATTTCTCGGGGTTCAATTTGAGAGTACGTTTCGCTGCCGGCCGCTACGGGGTGGTGGGGCCCTGGTTGCACCGGTTTCTTTGGTTCACTATTTCTCGTGATTCACAAGATTATAGTTGCGCGGTTCACTTCAATCACTAGAGAATAATTTTGATCCATTTTGTTAACCATCTGTTCTTCCTTTCTCTCGGTAAATTTCATATCTTTCTTTCATACATTACATACACGTCGAGACGCAAGCAAACACACTTTCCAACACCACTGAATCACATTCAAACTTTCCTCTCGGCGCAAATCATAAATAAATCCTGAATTCATACCAACTCGGTAAGAACACACAAAACTATTAAAAGACAACTTGAAATGCCAAAAAAACACGCATATCCACGTCACCAAGTCTTAACAATTTTAAAATTCATAAAATTATGAAGTAAATAATTTTGTTGTCATAGTAACAACTAAATGTGTTATTAGGAGGCTGTTTTCTTAGTAAATCAAGTCTATATTCGTAATCCATTTCAACCAGCAAGCTAAAGTCTTAATTTTGTGATTTGAAAGAGAGTTGTAAAGTGTAAATAGGTGTGAATTGAAATTTAAAATATGTCGTCATGAAGAAAAAATGTTTTATAATTGGAAAAATGTACAACTTTATATGACATAGTCAAATTTTGTATATATTTATGCTTTGAATTAATGCCAGCAAAATTATTCTCTAGTGTTTGAAGCATAGAGGAGAGATACAACAAGATATATCTCTACTCTATGGTTTGAAGTCAACCGCGCAATTATAATCTTGTGAATCACGAGATTAGTGGACCGAACCAGTGAACCAAAGGAACTGGTGGCACCCTAAACTCCGGATCAACCGTATTAGCTTTTAAAGAATTTGTTGGAATTTGTTGGCGTGCGTGTTTTTTTTTCTCCCCTTTTTTTGTAATTTAAGTTGTCTAAATTTTTTGTGTCTACAGAGATGGAAGGTATGAATTCAGGTTTTATTAATGATTTGTTCCGAGAGGGAAGTTTGAATGTGATTCAGTGGTGTCGGAAAGTGGGTTTGCTTGCGTCTCGGCGTGTATGTAATGTATGAAAGAAAGATATGAAATTTAACGAGAGAAAGGAAGAACAGATGGTTGAGTAGATTTGTAGAGTCAGAGGCGAGAATGGTCATAGCGTGAAAATGTCTGTGTGAAAGGACTCTTCTTATTAATTTACTGAACTTCAGTTCATAAAAACTAAAGTGTGTATTTTTTTCCCAGATAAAAGCAGATTTGGTGATACGTTGATGAGTCATTGAGGTTTTTCGTGTTATAAGAATGTTATACGTAATTAGTGCAGAGACGTTACACTAATTTCCCTACCATATTATTTTTAATACTATTAAAATTCTATAATTTTAGCGATTATTTGAGTTTATTTTGTTATTTTTTGTATTAAAATACTGCTATCTTTAACATATAGTATTTGTTTGAAAAAATAGACGGGTTGATTTTATATTATTGAAATGGGGGTTTGGGGGGGGGCCAATAGCCCCCCA